GCTCAAGTCAACTTTAGAAGCAGCAAAACCAAAACTTTAGGATCCACTCGTAACTCCCCTGACAGAGCACTTTACCGACGACTTCAAATTGATTTAACTAAATACAAATATTAGAAACGAAATGAAGTATAGTCAGCATTTTATTTTTGCTGTTCACTATTTATACCTTAATGTTATATACTATAGAAAAGTGCATAATGAGAGAAATAATTCCCATCATAGGTAAACTTCGGGGCTAAAAGTTCTTTGGAGAAAATCCAATAAACATTTTATTATATCAGGATACACTGATGTACATATGTTCTTTACTGAGGGACCTCAGAGGTGAACTTTTTTTTCTTTTTAAGTTTTTATTGATTTCAGAGAGAGGGAGAGGGATAGAGAAATAGAAACACCAATGATGAGAGTCATTGATCAGCTGCCTCCTGCGCGCCCCCTAACTGGGGATGGAGCCTGCGACCCGGGCCTGGGCCCTGACCAGTCACCTCTTGGTTCAGGGGTGTCAAGGCTCAACCACTGAGCAACACTGGCTGGGCTCAGAGGGGAACTTTGAAGTGGAAAGATGTCTGTGGTCTTGAATAGGAAGACTCATTTTCTCAAAATGTGTGCTCTTCCTATAATTATCAGTTTTACAAATCATATAAAATATGATTTTACATTTTCTGAGTTACACGTTATCTTTTATTGTTGTAATGAAATTAAGAACATTTTCGTACAGTAGAAAAAGGTTTACCCTTCTAGATATCAACAAGTGCTATAAATTTCCACAAATTATCTGTTTACTAATAGCTGAAAAGGCAGATAAATGATTGGAACAGAGTAGAAAATGACCAAACACCCAAATATGTGCAAGACTTTAGAACTTGATACTGGTGATATTTCATTTTTTTTTTTTTTTTGTAGGAAAAGGTGAATTGCATACAAATTGTGGAGAAATACCTGTTAAATATTTGGAGAAAACTAGCTAGATTTCTGTTTCCCCCCAAAAAGTTCCAGATTAAAATTTTAAATATACAAAGTGAGAAAAGTACCAGAAGAAAACACAAATGCCTATTTATACATTTTCAAATGTTAACAAAGACTTTGAAGCAAGATTTCTTGTGGTTGATTGAGCAATATAAAAATTAAAACCCTCTGTCTATCAAAAAATAGTATTAAGAAAATGTACTTGTAAAATATTTACAATATATGTGTAGCAGAGAAAAAAATGTCATTTACAGAGAAGTTTTTGAAATCAACAAGAAAAAACCCTCTAATTTGAAAGTGGAAAGAGTCCTTTTTGCATATCTACACTTGACCAATGGACAAAGGAAAAAATATTTAGTGTCCCTGGTAAGAAAAGTTAAAAAAGGAGTGAAATATCATTTTCCACCCACAAAGTTTGTGAAGATGTCTTTATGCTGCTGCTTAAAGTTTAAATTACTTTTGGCTTTTGAAAATTTAGCAATTTGGTGCTAACTACCACATATATATAAATACCACATACATATGTATGTGTGTGTATATAAATATGTATATATTTTCCCTGTACCCATCACTTCTATTTATACTAAAATATCTTTATAAAATAATTAGATAAATTACATACAATTTGTTTTTTCTCAGAACTGCTTAAAGTAGCAATATATTAATAAGAAAAAATAAGTGTGATTATACACACAGACTATGGTGCTATATTAGCTGAAAATATATGAAAAATGTGATAAATTTCTTTCTGAGCATTTGTATTATAAGTGAAAAGTTTCTTTCTTAAAAAGCTGGTTTCTGCCCTGGCCTGGGTTGCTCAGTTGGTTGGAGTGTCGTCTTATGCACCAAATGGCCGTGTGTTTGATTCCCAGGTTGCAGGTTCAATACTTGGTTGGGACGTATTCTGGAGGCAACCACTTGATGTTTCTCTCTCACATCCACATTTCTCTCTCTCCATCTCCCTTCCTCTTTCTCTAAAGTCAATAAAAACATATCCTCAGGTGAGGATTATAAAAAATAAAGCGCCATTGTGAGGCAAACAATAAAAATCTGATTTCTACAATGTACATGTACAGAAATTCTAGTAAATATAATATTATTATGAATTAAATAATCCTGGGGAATGGCAGTAATATGAATCTTGCACAGATAAAAATAATTTCTCACTTTCTGTTTTTGAGGATTGGTATCTTCTGACAACTTTTAGCCTCTTTAGAAGTAAAGGGAATCTTTTAATCTGTGCTTGTAGAGTGTATGTATATCTTTTAATCTGTGCTTGTAGAGTGTATAATTGTACACTTTTTTTTTTACTTTATATATCTTTATTACATATAATATGTAAACTATCATAGATTAATCATTGTAGTTGTGTGCTTATGAAGGTCTAAAATATAAGTGATTATTACTGTTGCAGAAGTATCACTTTATAAAAGTTTTCTTTAAAAAACAGTGAACTCTCACTATGTTCATCTATTCTTTCAATCCACTTATACATGAAATATAACCTGGATACCTATTATGCAGCAGATATATTCTATTCAGGACCCTTTCAATCTATCTCTAATGCCCTTTTTATCCTTAAAGTCTTCATGTTCCCCAGTATGAACAAAGAGAAATTTAAAATGGAAGTATTAAGACCTAATCACAGTTGAAGTTTTTTCTCCCTCTCTTCAAACAAAAATTTTTTTGAAGGTAGAAAATAGTAAAAGATAACCTTTACCTGGCCTTTTGAAAATGTATAATAGTGTTAAATACTAATATTGATCATTGGAAATATCTGATTTCCATACAACCTATCCATCTAAATATTGAACAAAATGAGCCATCTCTAGTCACTTGAATCCCGAGTTTCCTTTGGCTTAAAGTTTTTTGAAAATCAGCATGAGAATTACTATTTTGAAAAAATTATTGTTTTGCTCTTTCAGTCCTCTTTTCCCCATAAGGCTATTAAGAGCTAAAATTTATGTAAATGCCAACCACATGACTAGAACTACAAGAGATCTGTTGTATTTACTATTTTTCACTTAATGTAAGACACCATGGAGGGTATGATGCCCAGTATTTTATGTATTAATAAGAAATTTAAAAAAAAATGCTGCCCATATAGTTATGACATTCTGAATTGTAGATTGCATTCCAGTGTCAGAGATGTAAAAGCTGAGAGAGTAAGCACCTTAGAATTATTGAAATACCAGGTGTTTTATGATCCTTAAAATAGATCTGCAAAGTCACTATAATGATATCATTTTACTTAATTGAAATGTTGTGTTTGTAAAGTCATAGTAATAGTAATAATGATGATAATGCTATCTAACAATTATTGAGCTGTTTGTGTGTGTGTGTGTGTGCTAGGAACTGTAGTAAACACTTTGCATAGATTCTCATTCAAGCAAACAATGGTGTCCTGTGAGAAAACTGCTATTTTTATTCCCATTTTGTTGATGAAGAAATTGAGGCACAGAAAGGCTAAGTGATAGCTAATGCAACGCAAAGTTAAAATAGGATCAGATTCAAGTTAAACTGAATTCCAGGTTATTCTCTCTCTATTCAAATAGGCTTCTCTATTCAAATAGGCTTCTCCATTAATGTGGGGAGTAACAAGAACTAATAAATATTACACTGTCTCCAGAAGAAAGCTAAATATTTGCTTTGGAGGCATAGAGATCACACTTAATGTTTACAATTACATGAGTAATGATAGGTTTTGAGATAGTGCGAGTTCCTAAAGAGTCCTCTCGCTTTCATAGGACTGCTTTGCATTTGGCCTGTGCCAATGGCCATCCAGAAGTGGTGACTCTCCTAGCAGACAGCAAATGCCAGTTGAACCTCTGTGACACTGAAAACAGGACAGCTCTAGTGAAGGTATGTAGTAGCCAACTATGTCAACATGAGATAGATTTGGTTTAATTACTTAGAATAAAAGTGAATTTATCTCATTTAACTATAAGTCATTGATGAAACTCATGGACTGCTTACTTTGAATTCCTAGAATTTACAATCTCTTTCTTGGCATGATTCTGACAGGCTGTGCAATGCCAGCAAGAGGAGTGTGCGGCTATTCTGCTAGAGCATGGTGCCGATCCAAATGTAATGGACATCGATGGCAACACTGCTCTCCACTACGCTGTCCTTGGTGAAAATATTGGTATAATAGCAAAGCTGCTTTCATACAAGGCAACTGTTGAGGCAAAAAACAAGGTATAGATCAACTGACTTTGTTTACAAAATATTTGAAATACGTGTTTTTACTTTAGCCACAAGCATTTTCTTTCTGACATACATATACTGAATGCGGTATATCAGGCCCTGTCATCATGGAATCAACTCCAAAGCCATTCAGGGAAGGCTGGAGAAATGTGGAATCCATGGAAAAAGCAAAGTTCTGTCTCCCAGCTGCCCTCCCACCCCAGAAGGAGGAACTTTCTATTAGTGCCTTGGAGCGGGTAGTAGGCTCAGAGCCGACAAAGGGCTGAAGGACTGGGGTAGTGAAGTGATGGTGGGGGTCATTACCAAAGAGACGATAAGGAGACCTCAGTTCTTGTCTTCTTGAAGGAAAGATTTCAATCAAGAGACAAAGTGTAGAAAAGCAACAATTTATTGGCCGCAGCAAAAATATACTTACTTAGAATGGTGAAATAAAGAAGGTGCATAAAAGAACAGGAGAGCCTAGGCTGGGCTGCTTTGGCTCACTGAGAAGTCAGAGAGAGAAGGGGACAAGTTTGGGGGCCTTGGAGACAGGTTCAGGGGGTAAATCCGGGACGAGTTGCAGCTGCCCATTGCTCCTCTCACGGGGTAGTTGCAAGTCTCGTGGGGTTCCCTAGGAGAGGAGAAGGAAAAGGTGCTGGCATATTCCTCTGGGGTGGGCAAGCATGCTGGGTCATTTGTCCTGAGTGTATTTATCTCTTTCTTGCAGGCCAGAAATCTTAGGAGAGGTCTCAGGGGGGTGTTTCAATAGAATATTCATCAGCTTTCCAGGTGGGCTCTTTCAGGGTCGTGGTCTCCACGGATTGGTCAGGGCCAGGGTCGGATTCATTAACCAATGCAGCTGGCCCTGAGGTAGCCAGGGTGCCACCGGTCTGGTCTCACTGCTTATCTGGGCCTGGAGCTGAAATACAACTGTGGCCTAGATGTTATCTTTAGGGAGAAACACTCAGGGGGGCTAAACCACATGACCAGCTACATGCTAGGGGAGGATAGGTCACCTTGGGGACAAAGTTCTTGTTTTCCCAGTTTCATCCCTTGCTAGGCATCCAGGGCTTTGTGCCCTGGTGAGTTTCTGTACCNATCCGGGGCTTTGTGCCCTGGTGAGTTTCTGTACCTGGCCCATCTAACACAAACCATTTNCAGGGCTTTGTGCCCTGGTGAGTTTCTGTACCTGGCCCATCTAACACAAACCATTTACTTTCAAGTGTCCTTGGTTTAGGGAAGATAGGATTTATTAGGTGGCTGCAAACTGCTGTTTATCTGTCTCACTTTCCCTGTTCTGTTTGTCCTGGAACTTTCCTAACTTTTACTATGCTGTAATGGACTGGCTGCTATGTGGGCTGGGGCTAGGAACTGGGTGCTACAGGCGACAGGTGGCAGGAGGAGACCTGGTACCCAGCAGGGGGAGCTGGGTGAGTGTAAGTCTGAAGGGGAAGCAGCAGCCCACAGGCCATAAAAGACAGAATAGCACGATAGATACTGTGATAGGAACAAAGACTATTGGAACTAGTACTGTACATGTTTGAAGTAAGTTTTGGAGAATGATGCTGCAGTTGATCTGTTGAAGACGGAGAGGAGGGCATTTTAAAGGGAAGGAGCAGCCAGTGATAGCTTTTTATTTACTTTCTATATTATATGTTTAAGTTCAGAGGATCTTTTATAAGTTTTAAAATTCAGTTTGGATATATGTAATTTTATAAACTATAAATTGTTTTTGCTGCTTTACAGGATGACCTCACACCACTTTCACTTGCTAAAAGTAGAAACAAAGAGCAAATGGTGGAATTGTTATTAAATAGAAGTGCAAGTATGCATGCAGCCAGTCAGATGGGCAGGTACAGTCATTGCGCCTTTTTTTTAACCTTGATATTGTTCTAGAGTGGTAGTACTCATTCAAGTCAGAAAGATTAATGAGAAAAGGGTTAACTTATAATGATACAGTGAAACATCAACACGTCCTCAGGTAGAAAAGCAGCTCTTCTGACTGGGCAACTGGAAGGACAGTAAACCTCAGGATTCATAGCCATTTATAACATCGGCTGATGGCGTTTGCGATCTGGTCTTTTTGGTCATATGATTTTATATTAGCTAGAGGGATTTCATATTAGTTTTATAAAGTATAGACTCTGTTAGTTTACTTTATGATACAATAGTGGATTAGTCTCTCTTACAGGTTTTTTTTAACCTTTACTTGGTGTATAGTTTTCTTTAAGAGATGCATGTTAACCATAAATAGAAGTTGACTTTGTCTTTTGGATGACTCTTTGCTCTAAATTGCTTTCTTTGATGAGTTTCCCTAAGTGACTGTGAGTCACTGTTACCAGACAGAAGGCGCTGGTCAGTCTTTATCCTTTCATTGCTAGTGTATTTTGGTGTTTTTATTTTAATTGGCATGGGTGGAAGGAAGAAAGATAACTTAATTGAGTAAATTTATTTTATTTTAAATATATCTTTATTGATTTCAGAGAGAGGAAGGGGGAGAGGGAGAGAGAGATAGAAACATCAATGATGAGAGAAAGTCATTGATCGGCTGCCTCCTGCATGCCCCTGACTGAGGATCGAGCCCACAACCCAGACACAACCCAGAAACTTTTTCTTTAATGAAGACAAGTCATAGGTAGGTGATAAAGAAAAAGGAGATGGGCTCTCAATTCCCATGAGACTGGTTTAACGCCCAGCTTTCCTGCTTGCCAGGTATGTGACCTTGGGGACATTTTTTATCATCCCCCAAACATCTTTGCTGATATGAAAAGGAAGCTAATAATATACCCTTCAAGGGTGGCTGTGTGGAAGAATACCTGGCATTTAATTTAGTGCCTAGCATATGCTTATCAGCATCAATAACACTATGAATACTATTATCATAATAATTATTCATATTATTGTTTTAAGCCTGCCAAATAGCTTTTACTTACCTGACCTCTAGCTGACTTTGAAGTGCATTATGTCAGACTAGGAATAAAACAGGAAATTCTTCATTTAAATCTTCACCTACTTCAGGTTAGTGACCTCAGCACAGTTTTTTTTTTATCTGTTAAGGGGCTTTGAATGAGCAACTTCTGCTATGTACTTACTCTTCAAGAGGGACAAGAGGCTTCCTGTTAGTTGCTTCATTTTAGCTGTGCAAGTAATATACAAAGATGAACACTTCAGTATGTAAGTGGTCAATTCTCCACATACAGATAGGGTATTAACTTGGTAATGTATATCAAATTAGCTGTTTAAATAATGTGATTGAAGTTCCTGAGGGTGAAGTGATCTCTGTGTTGTATATGCAGTCTTCAGATTTGCTGTAAATGATGAGTCCACAAATACAGACAGTCTTCTTCTTCAGCAAGCTATTGATGTGTTTCTCAAAATAACTATGGGTGGGCTGCAGAAGAAGATGCTTTTGTTAGTGGTTTTAATTTGTGTTTACTTTAAAATGCTAGTTATCACTAAACTGAGGTTTAAAATTATTTCATTGTTACTTTTTATCTAACACCTGAGATTTCATAGTTTGGTTCAGGCAGTTTGGGAATGGCAGTGAGTCTATGTCATCAGTGAGAAGCCATGCAAAAGGCTAGATTAGTTAGAAGTAACAATGGACCAGATATCTCAGAATTTTTAAGATCTTTATCATTAGGGATCCTAATCTTATCCTTTTTATTCCAAGTAGAACACCTATGCATGGAGTGAGAATAAAATCGTATCTTTAATTTTTCTAACTAATTATTTGAAATCTTGAAGTGTTTAATTTAGCAGAAAAATCTGTATTTTCTAGGGGTTAGCTCCTAGATTCTTCCCCCTTGAATTTTTCAAGAACCTAAAGCCTTCCCTAAGTCCAAGGGAAACAACCCTCTTTCTCAAGTCAGGTGGAGAGGTAAAAAGGATATTGTATGTTAACCGTTGAACATCTTGTTTTGTNAGTCAGATGGAGAGGATCTTGAGCATCTTGTTTTGTTTCATTGTTGTTGTTTCTTTGTTGTTGTTTTTTTTTGCTAGCAGATGTTAGTGGAACCAGGTTCAAATAATGCTGCAGGAAAAGATCAGACTTTCCTTTCTCCGTTCTTACTAGATCTATACCACAAGGCAANGTCAGGTGGAGAGGTAAAAAGGATATTGTATGTTAACCGTTGAACATCTTGTTTTGTTTCATTGGGTTTTTTTGCTAGCAGATGTTAGTGGAACCAGGTTCAAATAATGCTCCAGGAAAAGATCAGACTTTCCTTTCTCCGTTCTTACTAGATCTATACCACAAGGCAACTATGGTTTGGAGAGGTTGATTAATTGATCTAAGATGCCATAGTTAAAAAGTGGTTGACCCATGATGTGACCATGAACCTGCTTGGCTCCCAAATCCATTCTCTTGTCCCTCAACATACACTAATAAGTTCCTGTGTAGCACTGGCATTGAGATATAGATGCGAGTCAGATCAACTCNCAGATGTGAGTCAAATCAACTCAGAAGATCAATTCTAATTGTGTGTTATTCTAATTTAGAGTTTTCTTAAGGAGCCCAGTTAGTCCAAACATTTGTCTTAATATACTTGACAATTGCAGTGGCAAATAGTACCTTGTTTTTCCCATCAAAGATTTTAGGGCACATTTCAGTTAGCTATGCCCACAGTACCAAAGGTTTTACCTAAGCAATACCTAATCAGGCAAGTGTTTTCGATATNTAGATGCGAGTCAGATCAACTCAGAAGGTCAAATCTAACTGTGTGCTATTCTAGTTTAGAGTTTTCTTAAGAAGCCCAGTTAGTCCAAACATTTGTCTAATATACTTGACAATTGCAGTGGCAAATAGTACTTGTTTTTCCCATCAAAGATTTTAGGGCACATTTCAGTTAGCTATGGCCACAGAACCAAAGGTTTTACCTAAGCAATACCTAATCAGGCAAGTGTTTTCGATATGCTGATATCTACTCTTCAGATGAATTATTTATCTGTAAGTAAAGAATATCTATGTATAGACCATGTAATGTTAGTTAAATTCAGTATGTATTAGAGGATGTTTCTAATTGATTTCTATATTTACTGACTTTGCAGTCTGGTTGTTCCTTCAGGCTAGTACTTTTGCCTAATTGTACTAAGTTTTTTCTTTTTTCCCTTAGACTCTTTTTTTCTTCTTCCATGACTTTTCTAGATTTTTTACTTCTCTGCTTTTTTTGGTGTTTCTCTCATTGTGTTATTTTTTTCCACATCTGCCAGTTATGTATTCTCCATTTTTCCATAGACAGAATCAAAGGCACATAGAATTTCAGGAGTTTAAGGAATCCAAACAATTAATTAATCAGAACACCCTCTCATACTTCGACCCAGTTTAAAGTCCTGGCTAAGTGGTTGTTCACATAGAGTATCTGAAAATCAAATTAAAGTGACTCATTTGGATAAAGTAAGTGGTGGAAATGAGCTGTAAATTCAGATTTCTAAGCCTAACACATTTCCTTCTTTATCATCCTGCACATGAGTGTTTTAATAATAGACAAATGAGGAGTGGGCCCTGTGAGTGCAGTGGAAAGAGGACAAGAATGGAATTTGCAGGTGAATCCCAAGTTTTATGAGAAATAACACTGGCTTGGGATAGAAATGAGAGTTTTAGGAAAAAGATCACAATATTGGGGTTTATGACAAGTTAAAGATAAGTTATACAAAGGAAAGCCACAGGATGTTGGGAGTTGTCTAGAAAGAAAGATTTAAATAAAGGGTTCAAGGGAATCCTGAAGTGGTTGATGCTCTTCGTTGAATTGGAGGAACTAGCAAAAATTCAAGGTTTCTGTAGAAAGATACTAAAATAATTTGAGCCACTGGAAAGATTCTTTTTATCGCAAACAAGACTGTGGTATTATCTACCTGGACCACAACTGAGAGGGTAGGGCTTAGATCTTTTCAAGTCCTAGGGGACTGGAGATTGCTGAACTGCATAGCTCTATAGCCCAAGACAGGTGGCTCCTCAACTCTACGTCTTCTCCCAGTTAGATGATGTCCTTCCCATATACTTGGAGGGCTGAGCTGTCAAGTTAATATAGAAGTTGGATAATTTGTAACATGCCTATGTTAGGAGTGGATGACTGATACTTTATTTAGCTTGTTTTCTAGGTGCAGGGAAGTACTCAAGAGCTCCTACTCTTGGTCATTTGAGCCCATTCTTGTCTGTGCCTTCATAGGCTGAAGATTTGAAGGTTGGAGTCTGCCATGGAGCCTGCAGAAGAGTGATCTGGGAGGGGGAATGCTAACAACATATAAATATGTTCTTTGACATTGGACATTTAACTTTCAAACATTTCAGGGAACTTTCTGTACAGTTTTAGGGTAAAAAGGAAAAATGGATTTGCCTAAATAAGTGATTTCCATGCTAAAGAATAAAGACTGCCATTTTTGACTGATATAGATTAGTCTTTGAACCAGGGTCAGATGATGGAAAAGGGACAGTGTGTCTTTCTACTTTGATTTAGGTCATCAGATTTGTTCCAGTTCAGGTAACAAAAGTTATGCCAGTGATTAATTGGATTTTCAGTTAAGGCTTCAGGACTTTTAGTGAAAACAAATTAATCTCAGGCTGTCACTTTCAATATTTTGGTTGTCACTTTCATATTGGAACTTAGAATGTGTCTTCATTAAATAGTTCCCAGGTTGGGAGAGGTTGGAGGCAGAAATAGATAACTAAAAGCTTTTATTAAACAGAGCCACATGTAATTATATCAAGAAGCTTCATTTAATATATAGTTAGCTGATCTTTCACTTAATTTTTTTGTTTCTTTTTTAAAGAAATGAACTCACTCATTTTTGTTGTATGTTTTTACTTTAAAGGCGTTCATCAGGTGATGAAGACTTCAAGGTAAAGTACTCTCTTGTGAAATTCATTTTTCTGCTCTGAATTTAGTTTTGTGTAGCACTTACTCTTAAAATTTAATAGTGGTCTACCTATCATTGTTTTTTATTATGTTTTTATTGATATTTTAGAGAGAGATGAAGGGAGAGGGAAAGAGAGGTAGAAACATCGATGAGAGAGAAACATCAGTTGGTTGCCTCCTGCACACCCCCTACTGGGAATCAAGCCTGCAACCTGGGTATGTATGTACCCTGACCGGGAATCAAACATGCTGCTTCTCAGTGCATGGGATGACCTTTAACCAACTCAGCCACTCCAGCTGGGCCTTATCATTGTTTTATGTATGTAATGGGAAATTTGTCTTTTTTATTGTATCATCTTTTTTATATGACATTTCCAAAATAATTGAATCTCTAGAGACAGATATTAGATAAGTGATTACCAGAAACTATGGTAGGGGGAATAGGGAGCGACTATTTCATGGGAATGGGGTTGCCTTTTGGGGTGATGAAATATTTTGGAACTAGATAAAGGTGATCATTGCACAACAGTGTAAATGTACCAAACAAATTCTATTGAAATTTTCACTTTAAAATGGTTAATTTTATGTTGGTGAACTTTGCTCACCAAACAAAAGAATACTGTGATAACAATAATCAATCAATAGAATTAAGATCATGTTACACATTTTAAAACAATCCAATGCCCATTTAAAATATGTCTTTTAGTGAAAGTTATACCAAAGTATAACATTACAAAATGTGAATTTTTCCAGGTGAATTTATTTAAGGCTGCTGTTTTCTTCTTGATTTTTTTTTTTTTTTTTTCCTTTTTTTTTTTTTTTTTTACAAAAT